GGTTTTTTTGTTTGTTTGTTTTTTTAAATCTGAACCCATTTACTCTTTACCATGTCAACTTGGTTCCAAACTGTGATAGAGCTCTTTCTGGTGTGGCTGCAGGTGCTGATCAGACAAGGAGCTAGGCTTTGCTTGTGTTCCTTTTGGTGGCTGTTTCCAGTGCAGAGAGAAGGATTACATAAGAACAGGAAAGCCCAAAAGCACCCATGAACCAGTCCCAGGTCTGCTGGCTGCCTCCAAGAGCTGCCAGACACATTCCCCATTGTCACTGCACAGATACACTATGCCCATGAGCAGTGTGCAGCATCTCACTGGTGCAGCACTGGGGTCACAGGCACACTTGTTCTCCAGAAGGATGCAGTGGCCATGTCTCCAAGCCCCACTTTGGAATCCACATTCAAGCTTAATGAAGTGAATGCCCAGGCACAGGTGTGAGACGGCACATCTAGAGCACACTGGCCAGAAGGATCTACTGATCCCCAGAAGGGGCTCAGGGCCTGCCTCATGCCCTCATTTGCTGCAGGACCTGCCGAGGAGTCAGGCAGAAGAGGCACTCAGTGGTTCTTCCCTGTGCTCCTCTTCCCTGTCCCATTTGTACAGCAAGACCAGCAAAGAGCCAACAGGTCCAAGAGCTCCCAGACTGATGTATGCACTAAGAATGGCAGTAGATGCCACTACTGTAAGGCTTTTCATATAAGCTCTGACTCTCGTTCCAGACACAGCCACAGTCCAAACACATCTATAGAGACCTCTCCAGCCTCACTCACATGTGATGAGCTTCACTGTGCTTACCACACCACCGAACCCCATCACAAGTATATCTGTACACACATACCCATCAGCCTTGTTTTTCTTCTGTACATACATCCCTCCCAAATCCTCTTCCCACTCAGTGGTTTGTCCCCCTTCTTCCCCCAGACAGTGGCCAAAACTAACAAACAGCTGTCCTATCCCAAGACAGGATGTGCAGAGCCATCAGAACTATGTTTTACCTTAATTCTTTCTTGTCTTTCCCTTGTGCCTCCTTCACTTCTGCTGTCTCTTGCACTGCCTGGCACCACATTTTACCCAGGGCTGTCTTAATTTACCAGTCCTGCAGAGAGAGCAAGTATGCAGGGGGTAAAAAAGGCTGCAAAGGAGGGTCACAGCACAGAAGATAGAAATGGGCTCAGGGCAGGAGGAAGAGCTGGCCATTTGTCTAAAGCACAAAGGAAATGGGACAATCAGGCTGAAACCAACTGGAGAGGAACAGTCAAGCAGAAGGCAGAGGGGACAGGTTGAGTTATCTGCAGACTCCACCGTGTAGATGGAACCCACCTTGCTCAGCAGCTGCAGGAGCTCACATACTTCCACCACATGCTCCTTGGCCAGCTGCAGGATGTGACATTAGCAGCACCAACGCACACAGCTTGCACTATGTGGCCTTGGCTGTAGCCATCTGACACCTTGACCAGGGCACTGATGCCCAACCTGCTGGTAAGAACATCCCACTAGCTTTTGGATCAGTCACTGCCAGGTCTCTGAACAAAGCAGAGAGCCCATGAGAGGACACCATGGCAGAAAGGGTGGAGATAGCACAACAAATAGCCAGTCTCCTCTGGCCAGACGAGGGGCTCAGTGCAACAGCCCCCACTTGGGGAACTTCGAGTACAGAGAAGGCCGCATTCTCTTAGAGAAGAGGAAAAGGAGAAACTAAGGAGAACACTTAGTTTTTCTCCCACCTGCCTTTCCACCTCCTGCTGCTCCTGCCACTGGAACCAATAGCATCATGCTTCCCCCAGCCATGGGCTTAGGCACAGAATCCAAACCTAGTCCTTCATGCGCAGTACTATTCATGCGCCCTACAACCATCCAGGAAAGGCATCTAAGAGGAACACCCTGACTGCTGGGCTGAGACCAGGTCCCGAGCCATCACACCCAGAATGCTGGCAGAGAGCAGGCAGTGCTTTCACACTCAGGCAGTTTCACAGACCTTGAGCTGAGTGGGCATACATTTCTGCCTTTGCACCAGCAACTGTCCTGTTCCCATGGATAACAACAAAAAGAAACCCAAACAAAAACACCCCACCACAAACCTCCTCCCCCCCCAACAAAACCAAGCAAACAACAAAACAAAAAAACCACCAAAAAACAAAGCCAAAACACAACCAAGCACACACACACACCCTCCTCCCAGCAGAGCCTTTCCTTTGTGATTGACAGGGCTCTGGCATCTGCCCTGGTCCCACAGCAAAAGAGGTCCTTTGCTTTCTCTGCCTGACAGGTCACAGGAGGGAAGTCAGGACCATCTGTCCCCTCAGCATTGTCATCTGGCAGTTGTCATCCAGCTACTGGCACAAGACTTTACCTTCAAATCCAGTTTACTGGCCCCACTCACTGCACACTCTATGGTGGGCTGCATAGTCTGGGTGGGGAAAAAAGCAGGCTCCTCCTCACTGGTTTTGCATAATACCTTCACATCAGGGGTTGCACAGATCAGCAGCACCCAGTCCTCTGGCCCCAGTGATTTCAGGGCCTTTAGTAAGTCCTTCCTCAGATGCTTTGGACCTGTCTTGTGAGGAAGAAGAGGGTCCTCAAAGGTCAGAGTGAAGGGGATCATGTACAATCCCATGACCCAATGCTGACCAGAGGGAAGAGGATGCACATCCTTGAAAAAAAAGTGTTGCAAATATTTTTTTTCAGCAATCTGTCCACTTCTAAACATTGTTGCTCTCATTGCAAGAGATTTGGTTTATCTCTTACTAAATCATCTATTTATTTTATGATTATACTTGCCTCGTGTTGGGGGCCAAGATGAACAGAGTGAAATCAGAAAGGTTACAGCATATTTCTTGTATACCAGAGCATGAGACACATGTTGGAATGTCTCATACTCAGGGACATTAGAGGAGTTCAGAGGATCAAGTCCTGTCTGCAGACCTGCATGGGGTCAGAGGCTGACAGTCACTGGCTTTTGGGAAGGCACTCCCTAGAGTGTACATAAGCAACCACCCACCCCCACTAGAAGCAGGGACCACCCACTGTTGGTACATCTCCAGACATCACACCTTCCCCACAAGAAGCAGTAATTAAAGGCAAAGCAAGAAGAACAAGGTTGAGTGGATAACTCCATCTATCGTCGAGAGAGAGAGAGAGAGAGAGAGAGAGAGAGAGAGAGAGAGAGAGAGAGAGAGTGGGAGAGAGAGAGAGAGAGAAAGAGAGAGAGAGAGAGAGAGAGAGAGAGAGAGAGGTTAAAACAAAACTGAGGTACCCAGCCACACAGCAGCTACCCAGACTAGTACAAAGAGACAAGGTGGAAATCTGTCCATGATGTAGGACAGAGAAAGGGTGTTAGAACTGGAATCTCTAGCCCAATAGTAATGCAAGTGTGTCCATTTACACATGCTCATGTGCATGACAAAGTATGTCTGCCCCCAAAAGACAGATTTAGAGAGGGTACCTTGTTACTGGCAAGTCATCTGTGTAAGCTACAAGCCTAAGATATAGCATATGGCCCTATCAGGTCAGGGACTACCCAGGAAACCATGATTTCATGCAGATACTAGCTGGTTGTATACACTAACATGATGTATTAAATGCTGCCACCTTCAAATGGCACACATGAGGATACATAGTAAGCTACTGGAGCCCATACTGTGCACTTTGTTTTCAAGTCTTGAACTATTAGCTCTT